TAATCCATATTCATCTTTAGTCCTATATTGCTTACAACTAATTGTGTTGATCAATATTATCCCAATTTAATTAATTGAAGAATTATTCCTCATCGTCTTAAGACATGGACTTCTTAAAGTTTGATTGCATGTAGAGTCGTTGATATACACTGCTATACTAGTATAGAACAACTGTCCAATGCTTTCAGAATATTAGTAATATTTTTATTAAGATCATTCCATGACCTAAACAATATGTGATGTTATTTGGTTTGAAAGTGTAACATCAATTGTCTCTCTGGCACATAGAACAATCTATCATTATTCGTTATTCAGTGATAATATAAAAAGTAATTAAATCAACAATATAGTATAAAACTATTCATGATAGTTCAGTTTATTGTCCATAACGTTTGTTTATACAACAAGAGAGAAAGAGACATGTTGTTTACTTAATTCGTCTCATTTAACATTGATTTATATGTTTTGACGACTGTTGACAATGGAACATAGGCGAGTATATTATACATATGCATGTAATATGAACCATGTAGTAAACAATCATATGTAAGTACATGATTTCTTGAATAAAATCAATGATATATATATTCCATTTAATATGTACTCCGTTAGTCATATATATAGAAAGAGAGAGAGTGTGTGTGTGTGTATGTGTGTGTGTGACACCTTACAAATGTTTACACTGATGAAGACAATTTTTTGTTAAAACACTGACTTAGATGTTGAATCCCAAATTTAACTAGGTTTCCGTGTTATTTACTAATGAAATTGAATAATCTCCATAATCCCTTTTAGTAACTAGTTATGTGCTTATTTGTGACCAACTCTGGAAAGTAATTTCAGAGTTCTAGTGAGAAATCATAACTAATAGAGTTCAACAATGTCAAATGTAAACCGATTATTCACCAAATACATCAGGAGATGGAAGGACGATATAACTAATCGACTAGAGTTAGACATTAACATCGTAAAATCCTGACACTGGTCTGAAGGTTAGGTGCTAGAGAGCGAAACTAAAGATGCTTAGCTTGAGCTCAATCGAATGTATGTACTTCTGAGGAGTCCCTACCAGGATAAAACATCTATTCAGTGCTTCCGGGTTTGCAATGGTTGTCTAACTGCGAACAATTCGTATTCATTATGGAAAAAAATACCTATTCGAAATCGATTGTGTTGTATTGATTGTATTATTTAAAAGCGTTTATACTCAGTCAGTCAGTAGACTACAACGTAAGACCAGGCACATATATGGATTAGTCCAAGTTACCACACCTCATTAGCACAATAAGATGAACACCAAATTCATAGAAGTAGTTACTTCAATGATAAGATTATACTAACAGCACTCAAAATCAATCATGTATAAGATAACAGGTCTCGGATTTTGGCACGAAATTCACTCATCCATTTGAATAAATAGAGTTTTGGCATAATAGCTAATGTCAGTTCATGATGAAAACCAGAAAACTAATTCCTAATTTTAATCATCAACTGTAAATCATAGTTCTTATTTCGCACACACAGGTTCACAATCCTCATTTGGTCCTGGTTATTAAGTGGACACTAACGTCGCTCAAAGGTCGTCCATAAATTATGGTCTCACCAGTTATTCAATTCTCGTTATCATTAATATAATCTCGAATTTAATTAATACATTTATAATGGCTAAGAATAGTGTATTCAAGACGATTGTTCATTGTCTGATGCGATGAAATTAAATATCTTAACATATTTCTATATTCAACTCAATGGACTAGATGGGTAATATGAGGGTTATTACTAGGTATCAATATTCTTAAAGAATCGTTCATAAGGACAAAACTCTTGTTCAATGTTGCTTAATTTTTGAAAATCCTATAGTGACTATAAGTTGTTGTATAAATTTTTTTATAGATATATAGTGTCGGTTAGTATGTTAAACCCACACAACTTGTTCGAACTTCTGGACAGGCCAATTTATCCATTCTTCTTGAATCACGTTGGGCTCACCATTTTAGTGGCCAGGGATCTGACTCCATTTATATCGTATGAATGATTGTTGTCAAAATATAAATCCTAGTTATCCTCAAATATAATCATAGACTTAAATCACTTAAGTGTATAACGGAATTAAATAAGTCAAATACGAAAATGAATGTTTGAATACGCGTATTTTATACACTCGTTAATCGGAATAATCAGAGAATCGCATCGAAAAAGAGAGAGTGGAGCGAAGCGAAAAGACGCACACTGGAGAAGGCGTGTGAGCCAACTCCACAAAATACACGTATTCAAACATTCATTCTCGTATTTGACTTATTTAATTCCGTTATACACTAAAGCGATTTAAATCGATAGCCAGGATTTATATTTTGACAACAATCATTCATACGATGTAACTGGAATGAGATCCTAGGCCACTAAAGATATACAAAGAACTGGAGTACACTAAATCATTTATTGTTTAATTCACACTTTAACTATGGATTATTTGAAAAAGTAACTTATCAAAAATACAGTTAGTTATTAATGATAATGACACAATTCCTATGACATATGACAGATGATTTGACAAAGTAGATGTTTTTGAAAAACTTAAATCATGTTTGCATTTTACTAGTAGCGGTTAGGTGACTACCCATTGAATGGTACACACTACTGAAATGGGTAATCAAAGACTGAACATGTTAAATCGTTGTAACTTTATTCTACTGATTTACATAAATCTACAGTAATCAACCTTATTAACTTACAGAATATTTAAACGCTTTATACTAATGAATAATATGTCAAAGATTGATATCAGTAATTGATTGGTTGTCAGGATGAAAAATAAAAATATTCTCTGTTGTAATTATCAGGATCACCGGAAAAGTAATAGTGAGGTTAGACAAAGCGTATTAGGGAACGATGGTAAATCAGTTGATGAAGTTGTAAATCTTCATCGACTGAGATGGTTGAGCCACGTGTTATGTATGCCTGAACACCGATTACCACGACACACAATGCTGACTAGTATTGGGGATGGTTGGAATGAAATTAGGGACGGCCAAAGCAAAACGTGGTATCAATGCTTCACTTCACTAACTTTTAGTCGTAGTCATGTTGGTAGATTTAGAGTAGTTTGTTGGGGTCCGCGTGACTAACGCAATTAGTAGTAGTTGGAGACTGTGTGTGTGTCATGGTTCGGAATCGATCACAATGGCGTGGGTGTTTACACACAAACAAACTCTCTCTCTTTTCCCTTAAGCCGTGAGATTAAATCGCTTTATGTCTTTCGTTCTACGAACTAATTCTTCCTTCCTGTCCTTATATGCAATCTTTCTTTTATATATTACTATTGTTGAAACAACTACTTCTATGAATTTGATGTTCATCTTGTTATGCTAATGAAGTATGGCAACTTGGATCGATGCATATATGTACTTGGTCCTATGTTGTAGCTGACTGACTGTTGTAATTATCATCAGTTAAGTTTGACTTGATAAATCCAAAGAATTGGATCATTGAATAGATTAATTTTATATATCGACAATGATCTGATTTAGTAACAGAATGTTCTAAAAAATTTCAACCATAGATTTTTATTCGTTTAAACCATTTAATAATATAATTTAATCTAATCGTTAATAAATGATGTTTAATATTGTCAACCATTGAACATTTTTTTAGTCAATATTATTCTTAGAATGATTGACTATTGACTGTTGTTAAATATTAAAAAAAACTTTACAAACAAACCTACAACAACTAAAAAAGAAACTTGACATTTTCTCTTTCTACCATAATCCTCCAGCTAGATTATTTCCATTCACAATTATTATTATTATTATTATTATTATTATTAGTAGTAGTAGTAGTAGTAGTAGTAGTAGTAGGAAGAGGAGGAGGAGGAGGAGGAGGAGGAGGAGGAGGAGGAGGAGGAGGAGGAGAAGGGGGAGAAGGAGAGGAGAAGGATTAATAGTAATAACCTTACTTTAGATGTTAAAAACCAACTGTTACCAAATTTTTTTTGCTTTCTTAAAGAATGTAAAAATGTATAGACAAAGTTTTACATATCTTGTATATTTCCTCTTTTTTTTGTTTTAAAGAGGAAAAAGGGAAAAAAAAGATAAATAATTCAAAGGAAAAAATTTTTTTTATTCCTAAAAAGATAAAAACCCACATTAAAAAAAATTATATGGTAATAATCTAATGGTTACTAAATTTCTCTATGTAACAACCCATGTATGTATCTATGTATGTATGTTCATATTTATGTGTGTATGTATCCGTGTATATAGATATGCGTGTGTGTGTGTGTGTGTAACTGAGTGAATGAGTGAATATGTAATAATATTAAAAATTAAAAAAAAGAAAGAGAAAAAGGTAACCTTGTTATCATCTCAATGAGATTATCATTCCTGAATCAAAACATAAACACCTAATACAGATATTATATCAGCAACTAATGTATAAATGACACAACAACTTAAATGTTTGCTTGTTTGTTCGTTTTTCTTTTCCTAATAAAAAAATATTTAAAAAGAAAAGAAAAAGACAAACTACACGAACATTAAACTTCTGTGTGTGTGTGTTTAAAGAAAGAAAGCCGATAGTTCTTGTGTTACATTTCTTTAAAAAAGAAAAAAGAATAAAGTAATGAATAGGAACATTTCTTGTACTTTGACTACTTACTTTCTTATAGACGAAAACAAAGTCATAAAACACATATATGTATGGTACCATCCACTTTTTTTTCTTCTTTGGGTACAAGAAAGTACTTTATCTATTGTCAGTTCTTTTGAAGAATTTGCGTAAGTGTAAATAGTATTACATTGGTAAGAATAGAAGATAACCAACGACAACTATGTTTTACATACATGTTTACAAAAAAAAGGAATTATGAATAAAGCTTAGATTACTATAAATGATGATTAAGTTAAAGCTTTTTTTTTCTAATTTTTAATACTCTAGGTAATAGATGATAAATAGTTCTAGAAAGAATCATAGACAAAATGTAAACGTAATGAGTGACTTACTTTTACAGTTTTTGTATATCCATTTATATATATATATATGAATTTATCCATTCAGTTTAAAACATTTAAGATCAAACATCTTTTTTCTCTTGTTTTATTCCAATAATTATTGATTTCCATTTATTATGTTCCGCTTTTTTTTTTGTTGTTGTTAGTAAATGTTATGATTTAAAAGACAAATAATCACCATATAACCATGTCGTCGTAATAATAGTAGTAGTGGTAATTCACAAGTTTTTTTTCATTTTCATCTCTGTCACATACACAAAAAAAAAATTAAATAATGGTGCACAATGCAGACAACTTAACTGAATTCAAGGTCATTCAAAAATTAACCAATAGGGATTCAGAAATTATATTAATTCAATCAACCAATCACAAGAATTGAGTCATCTTGATTAGTTTCGAATATGATTGGTTAATAAATATACAACTGATGAGATATTGATATCAGAAGGGGTTTTCGGGAGATTGTACTAATTTCAATAGTTGAGATCATAAGTCAGTTGAAGGTAGACCACTATGGAAAACCTGGAAGCACTAGACGACCATTTCGTCCCATCGTGAGCGTCATCAGCAGTGCACATCCACGACGATGTTAATCTTTACTTGAATCTACCGGTTTATTTTTAGGACTACATTTGACCAGTGTCATATTGGTATATATTCATCCTATGTGGATTGCCTCGATATTGCTTTGATTCACAAAAATTCCGAGCAAACATGGATAATGGCTAGCAGTAGAATCCAAAACGTGCGTTTCGTCTTATTTGAGACTCGTCAGCTGGATCTACTTACATCTCACAGTTGATATTCACTTTGAGACTCGAACATAGCAACGTTTGCCATCGCGTTATCCACTTAGCTACTGAGTCCTGATAGCCACTTGCTTATGCGATGGGGTGAAGTTTAAATTCACTTGGTATTGATTCCTTGAATCTTCCCATTTTTATTTAGGACTGCAACTGATCAGTCTATTTGTTTAATATACAACTGGTCTTGAATTTACTTCGTTGTTGGCTAGATTGCAAGAATAATTATGATCAGGATGGGGTTTCTGAAGATTGTAGTAATGTTAACAAACGAATTTATGAGTCGAGTCCATACTAGGACGAAACAGCCGTTCGGTGCTTCAAGGTTTTCAACGGTGATCTAGCTTACATTGATTCATGAATTCAACTATACAAAAATAATTCTCATGCTGTAATGTATGTAAACAAAATATAAACCGTATATGACCTTAAGTGGAAACTATTAATTCATTTTACTAATTTTTTTAAAATATAGATTTCGGAATCATTTACAACATCAGTTCTGAGATACTTGTACATCCAGTTGATAAGCTCCAAATAGTATGAAATGCGCGTCATGGATTCCACTGATAGCCACTATCAATCTTTGACATAACAGTCTGCTTTTCATAGGATTTTCTTGGATGAATTCTACATAAGCACAGAGTGACAATCTTTATACAATGCAATAAAATTATTAATCATGTTGTGTTAACTTTTTGTCTTGCTAAAAAGACTAATAAATTTATGAAAACACACTTATGAATATGAATTTTTTAAATGTTCAAGACAAGGAATCTTAGATGAATAGAAGTGAAAGATCTATTGTTCAGTTCACTTGGGGTCCATGTTACTAGTATTGGTTGGAGACTCTTGGTGACATGGCTCAGAATCGATCACAATGGTGTAGGTGTATACACTCTCTGTCTTCCTTTAAACTATGAGATTAAAATCGCTTCATATCTTTCTTTCTACGAATTAATTCTTTCTTCCTGTACTATATCCTTATTGCAATCTTTCTTTTATATATTTCCACCACTGAATTAACTACTTCTACGAATCCGGTGTCCATCTTGTTGTGTTAATGAGGTATGGCAACTCGGACCGATGCACACATGTGACTCTTTATCCAATACCATAGGTTTGTTTTCAGTGATAAACTCTGAGCAGGGAACATACTAAATCTCGAGAAATTTCCCACTTGTGTCAAACATCTTATTTCTCAATATTCGAAAAATGTATTTGAATTATGTACAAACTGTATTAGTTGACGTCCATACTCATCAGCTTATGTTTACGATGAGCCTTGCTTCTATGATTTTGATATGTGAAATTTATTGTAATCGCCTAGTATTATTATTCCTATGGACAGATAAGGAGAAAAGCATACGAATCACCACGTTATCACTTCTTGATTCTCTCATGAACCAGATTCGTCATAGGTTGTAGATGTCTAATGAAAGTATGTGTGTATATGCGGTCAGTGAATACAATTAGTGAATAAATAGAAAAATTAAAACAGGGCAATTTATAACAATAAATACGGATTTTGAACAGTAGTACCTCAATAATAATAAGTATGCCGTTAGGTCTGAAGGTTTTGAGTTCGATTCCATGTAATGCTTCTGAGTAGGCAACATTGAAAACACACAAATCAGTACGAAGAAGCTGCTATGTATTTCTCAACTTTGACGAAATTTACATTTACATCCTTAAAAATGGTTATTTTTTAACATCATGGAGTTTAATGATAATAACATAAACTAGATAAAATATGGTTAGCAGTAACATCCAGAATACTTGTTTCATCCTAATCGGAAATCATCAATGTTTAAAGTAAAAACTATCGACTTCAATACCCAATCTGAGCATCAAATTTGAGATTCATGTATATCTGAATCTCAAATAAGATTAAATGAGTGTCCTGAATTTCACTACTAGATGTAATTCATCCATTTCCTCCTCCAAAAAAGGACTAATTTCAACATTCATACATCAAGGCAATCTAACCAAGATGTACATCTCCCACTAAAGACTGATCAGAATTTCGTCGTGAATATCAATAACAGGACAATTCAATCCTTAATAATTAAGATAGTAATAATAATCTACCAAAATCTTTAATCAATAGTGCAATGGCCATCCAGTACTTCCAGGTTTTCCATGGTGATCTAGCTTCAATCGATTCATGATCTCAACTATTAAAATCAATAATGAATCAGAATTTAGTACCAAACATGGATGAATTTTCTTAGATGTTTATCTTTTGTCACGTTGTTTACATAGTTTCTTTTAACCCCCCCCCAAAAAAAGAGCAAACGATGATATTTGAAGGAAGTTAATCAACCAAATTATACGTGACAATTAAACATAAATAAATATACAATAGGTTCAATGTTTGTTTGTTTTTCCAATCAAAATTTAATTATTTTTAGACAACTATTTATTTCTAAAACATAAATTATGATTTATCAAATTGAATTAGATTTAATTATTTAAAGTGACAAGTAAATATGCTCACTAGTGACTCATTTCAAGAGGTAGTTCATGGAGTTCTGGAGTGAGAAGTAGTGACCAGTGGAGTTCAACCAGGTCTGTTGTAGAGGCAACTAACCACTGAAGACAATGGTGGATTTATCGATGAATTTAGTGGATTGGTTGAAGTTAGACATTAACATGGTTGGTACCGGCCGACTCAGTGGTCTAAATATTAAGCGTTCGCGCGCAAGACTGATAAGTCCTGAGTTGGGATCTCACGAGACGGTCGTTCAATGCATCCATGTTTTCCATGGTGGTCCAGCTTAGATCAAATCATAAAATCGACTGTTAAAATTATAAAGATGAGTTAATCTTAATAATACAATTGATATTGTTTCACTTGAATCTTCCCATTGATGTTTTAGGACTGAAATTGATCAGTCTCTTATTAGAATATGTGCATACTGTGCGTATGCCTCGATATTGCCTTAATTTACAAGCATTATAAGCAAAGATGGATAGTGGCTAGCAGTGGAATTCAGGACACGCGTTTCGTCCTGCTTATAATGCTTGTAAATTAAGGCAATATCGAGGCATACGCACAGTATGCGCATATGCCAATGAGAGACTGATCAATTTCAGTCCTAAAACATCAATGGGAAGATTCAAGTAAAACAATATCAAGTGAATTAAACTTCAACCCATTGCACAAGCAATTGGCTATCAGGACTCAGTAGCTAAGTGGATAACGCGATGGCGTTTGAAGCGAACGGTACTGAGTCCAAGTCCCAGAGTGAACATCAACACTGAGATGCAGGTACATCCAGCTGACGAGTCCCAAACGGGACGAAACGCGCGTCCTGGATTCCACTGCTAGCCACTATCCATCTTTGCTTATAATCTTAATAATAGTTTTCATTATGAATTGACATAAGGGTAGAAGTAGAATAAGGTGAATATCCAAAGATGCATGATGATTCCATGTCACTGTTCGTTTATCTGTAAAGTTATCAACTATTTATTTTTTTAAAGCCTATTATACATTTTATCACGAATATCAAAGATTCATCAATTATTTTATTGAAGAATAGTTTAAGAACTAAGTTCATCAATGAATAGTTACATAATGAACTCATAGTTTGAACAAGACATGGTAATTAATATCTGAATTCGTTGACTACCTCCAACAACCATCTTATCCCAACGTAATACACACAATTTCAAGTCATCTGGATTGGTGGCTACATTGCAAAATGATCTTTAGGATTCAAACTGCACTAAGAAGGACTTGACATACATTACATTAATCAATCAATTGTAAATTATTTGAACTGTGATATGATTTCAAATACATAACAATGATTGTTGTGTTAATGAGGTATAGAAACTTGGACTGATGCACATATATGTCGGGTCCTATGTTGTAGCTGACTGACTGACATAACAATGAACTCCAATTCAATAGTTTAAAAGAATTATATTCATCATAAGAACTAAAGTTTCACTCATTAACTCTGTATTACAAATGCATGTAATCATAAAACTTTGTATGAAAACTAAACACTTGTTCAGTAGTACATTGTTGTTTACAGTCTTAGATCGAGTTAAATACTACAACTCTATAAGTAAGTAAGTGAGTAAGTAAGTAAGTAAGTAAATAAGTAAGTAAGTAAGTAAGTAAGTAAATAAGTAAGTAAATAAGTAAGTAAGTAAGTAAGTAAGTAAGTAAGTAAGTAAGTAAGTAAGTAAGTAAGTAAGTAAGCAAGTAAGTAAGTAACTAGTTAATTCATTACCAATTGATGAATGAGTCAATTTCAAATCAAATTTTTGTTTGTTTTTTTTGTCGAAATTTTTTTATTTATTTATTTAATTTTTAAAATAGTTAAATGCTAATTTTTGTTTGTTTCTTCTTGTAGATTTTAGTTACTATGCTACTATTAGATTGTTACGGTTGTTTACATGATCTTATAATTCATTCATACAATTG